TCAGACAGTCAAACTCTACATAATGATATAATTTTCATATTTATTTGTAATACTTTTTCTGACATCATATTTTTGGGTGGTTGACTTTGACAGAGTCAAAATTCATTTAATTGACCTTTGTTCAATAAAATTCATATATTTAATTCATGTTATTTATTTTCATGATTTATTTCAATAAATCATTTCAAAGTTCACATTATAAACAAATCTCTAATTTGGGTCTATACTCTGGTTCCCCAAATTAAGATCATACAGTAAGTCAACATATTGGATTTATCTCTATGAGATTTATCCAGATTGTGATATTGGATATCAATATATGTTTTATTTCGGCCCAAAGCCCAACAACAATTTATTTTAATCAAAACAAATTTGATTAATTGAATAATTATTCATTAATAATTCTAGGGGTATGTTTTGGGGCGTTACAATATCTACATTAAATATAGTAAATAAGTTCTATTTCATCTGAAAAAGAGAACACATAAATAAAAATATTGGAAAACGGTCAACTATTAGCAAAAATAACACTTTAAACCTCTCAAATCTTTTAAAAAATCTTAAAATTTCTTACATTATAACTACTATATTAATAGCGCCACTTGATAGCAGTTAATCAAGAGAAACATACTCTTAATTTCAACCCTTGTATTCCCAGCATTTTATCCATTAGCAACATGTATCTCAAGAGAGTTCTGGACTATGAGAAATAAACCTTTCTGAAATTGTCAACTTTCATGAACTCTATATATGCAATGGGGTATTCCACCCACGGGGAAAACTATTGAGCAGAATAAAAAGAAAAACAAAGGCAGCTCTTTAAAACAAAATCAGAGGAAAGAGCTCTTTAACGAAACAACATATATACTTGTAACTTCATGTTGAAAACATACTGAAACCAGCTAATTAAAATTCAGAAAACCATGGCTAAAATACTTTCACTCGCCCATTAACAAAAATGATGGAGGACTATGGTCTTACCTCAATGTCACCACCGTGCAAATATTGCTCCGACATGCTAACCTGTAGGAGCAGAAAAAAAAATATAAACTAACAAATAGATCTGCACGGATTAATATTCTTCTTCATACACTTATGGTGCCATAAATTAATTAAGAGTTCTTGAATATATTGATAGAAATAACATCAAGGAAATAAAACCAACCAACCACTCAAGCATAAAGATAAACCCCTAGCTTTCTCTTTAACCAAAGTAGTGAATTTTGTCAAGCACTAAAAAAGTAAATTGAAGTAGAATACCAACACAGTGATTCAGAGAATTGATGTTCCTATTTCCTATATCAACCCATGGGGTAGGAACTTCATAATATAATTGTTACTCGATATCCTTAGCAGGTTAATATCACAATATAGCCACTCAAGATATTCTGGAATTCACACGAAATTATAGAGTTAAACCTGATTCTAAGCAACTTCAGAATCCTAAATTAACCTCAGATCTATATGAATTCTCAATCCCTCGCCAATCTTGGAAAAATAAAAATATTATTTTCTAAAAACTTTTTTTTAAATGAAGATCCCAAATCCTTCAACTACTCATTATCCTATTTTATTTTCAATTTTGGCAGTAAAATTAGGTTTGGAATCTTGGTATTAGTCAACCCACGATTTAGAATCAAAGAATTGGCCGAGAAAATGGGAAAATCGCAGAGAAGAATCTGAAATAGGTATGGAATTCCGTAGCACTGATATTGGGTTACACGAATATATGAATGGAATAAAAAACGCATATGTATTTTGGGAAAAAACCTGGATCTTCAAGCATGCGAAGAATCAATGTTCACGGATCTTAAGGCGAAACCGAAGCGAAGAATTAAGGCAAAAACATGCGAAGCACTGATTTTAAGGCGATTTCGGCCAATTTTTCGATTTTGGAGTGGTAGATTTCGGAATTAAGGCAAAAAATCCGTGAAGAATCAGCGGATTTTTTGAATTTCCATATTTGGGCGAAGAAGATTCTTTGCCGATGAAGAAAACCAAAAACGCGTAGGGTAGAGTAGACGCTTGGAAGAATTTACGATTCTCTCCAAAGTGAACACGTGTAGGTCTTGCTTACTTGTCATCAAATTAGGAGTCTAAATTTGCCACGTGTCAAAAAAATTTTAGGCTATCAACTTTCAAATATTATATTAAAGGATATATATATATATATATATATATAAAGGATAAAGATAAAGATTATCTTATATATTCATATTATATATACAAATATATTAATATATTATAAATATATTAAAAAGATTGTGAATATATTATAATATATTAAGAATTTCATATTATAAACTTATAATATATTACTCATATTAGAGTGTTATAATATAAGTATATTATATTATTATTTATATCTATCTAAATATCTATATTATTCAGAATGTCGCATAGAAGGCTCGTCGATATGGAGAGTTTGAACCAAGAAAGAGGGTTTTCAAGAAAGGCAATTAAAAGAAAAATATATAGACAAAATAAAGTATAAAAAATTGTTTGGCTAACTTTTTTCTTACTTTAAAATATCGTGTAACTATTTGTTATGATATTTGGAACGTATATAATAACTTATTCAACATGAGCATTACTTGTCATTCGATAGATATTGATTCGGTGATGCATAAAAGTTTCTTGCTTTTTGTGATTTTAATGAATCTCATAAGGGCGACAGTATTGTTTTTTTGGTTGAGAATATTCTAAAAGAATACAATTTACTTGATAAAGTGTTTGCGTTTGGCTTTGACAATGATACTAATAACACCTTTGTCATTCCTATACTTAAATAAATTTGTCCCTCTAGCAGCACTGTACCATTGGTAGATGTCTACATCAAAGGTGTGCATAGCATGTTTTAAATTTATATGATCAACATGGATTACAGGCGATGGGGGGACCAACATTAAGGGTGACTTAAGATTAATTAGGGATAGTCATTTGAATTTTAATGCATGAAACTCTTACTACAAATCTAGGGGTACAAACCAATAACATTTGATAACATTTTCTGAGTGTATTACGATTGCTACATGTTTTTGTGAAAGTATGTTTTATCTAAATTTGTCTCCCTATGTGTTTCCTATGAAGGCAAAACAATGCTTATTACTTGTATAGTCTTGATATTTGTAAAATTGGAATTATTTGTTATCAACACTTAAAAAATGATAATTTTAAATTTATCATGAAGTTTTTATTATAGTTGTTTTTCATATAATAAGAGTTATTATGAGCATTTAATAGAATGGAAGAAAAAAAAGAGTTGTTGTTGACTTTTTTTAGTATTTATATAAAAAAGGTTTTAAAGGAATACTTGGTGGCCCGTTGGCGACAAAAAGTAAAAGTGCCTCTACCTCTACATGTAAAGGTGGTACAATAATAATTTCACACAACGAACTTGTAATGTACCAAGGCGTTCCATGCGTTTACGATGAAGATAACCAAAATGAGTTCGGCGTTCTTGAATGGTGGAGATGGAATAGACACATGTTCATGCCACTCGAAATGCTAGTTACAGACTTGTTATCTATGTCAATGTCCAAATATGGAGATTGACAAATTGACTACTCCGTTGTCCGTAATTAATTGAGGAATGGCGAGTAGACAGCAAAGCAAATTGGCGGTGCAGAAAGTTTGGAAAAAAGTCAGTTATCTATGTCAATTTTTTCTCTTTGTGATAAGAATATTACCTTAATTTCTCACCTAAAAAATGGACCTGTGTAGTTTTGAACAAGAAGCCAGGAAAAGTGCTTTAAATTCAATGTATACAGTTTACTCCCACTCCGTATTATCTCAAGTTCTGCTTGGTGTTGTTCAGTACAGTCTTTATCTTACAATGGGGCGGAGCCGGCCTTCTCTTTATTTCCTCCTCCTACTCCCCCTATTTGTCAATCTTCTTCCGTTTCCCACATCTGCTGATCTGAACAATGGCACAATAATAGCCCTTGGCAGCGCTCTGATTGCATCAGATGGGACCAAACCGTGGCTCTCATCGCCATCCGGTGATTTTGCATTTGGGTTCTCACAACTCAAAGGCACAAATCAGTTCCTTCTGGGCATATGGTATGCCAACTTAAACGACGATCACCCCATAGTTTGGAATGCTAATACTGGCTCTCCAGTGCCACTGGGATCAACGCTTCAGCTCAGCGTTGACGGGCTGATTCTTGTCGATCCTAAGAGCAATAATACTCTATGGAAGATTGGTGTTGGTAAAGTTAAACAGGGCATTTTATACGACACGGGAAAGTTTGCCATCTCGGGCAGTGGTTCTGCAGTGCTGTGGGACACCTTCTCACATCCAACGAACACTTTGTTGCCGACCCAGAGTTTGGAGATGGGAACCGTGCTCATATCTCGTAAGGAAAATGATCCCATGACTCCGGGAAGGTTTTATCTTCAGATGCTTGACAGTGGGAATTTGGTGCTCTCAACTAAGAGTGTACCCACTAATTCAGACTATGATGCTGAATACTATAATAGCCAGACAGCTGCTGGTTCAGGGTATAAACTGATATTTAGTGAGAAGGGATCAATTTCTGTATTGAAGAGGGACAACACAACAGTCCTGGATCTTTATGTTCCACTTTCTAGCTCAATAGTTTTGGAAAATTACCTCAGACTGACTCTCAACTTTGATGGAGTTCTGGGTCTTTATAGGTATCCCAAGGTTTCAACAAGCGGCAATCGCAGTTGGATTCCTCTTTGGACTCAGCCTGATAATATATGCACCAAAATAACTGGATCAAAAGGCAGTGGGGCTTGTGGGTATAACAATGTCTGCTCACTTGATACTACAACTAACAGGCCGTCTTGTAAGTGCCCTCCAGGTTACTCACTGATTGATCCCAGTGATCAATATGGCAACTGCAAGCCCGATTTCGTTCCCACTTGCGATGGATCATCATCTAACAACTCGTCGTCATACGGGCGGTTAATTGAGGTGAAGGACACGGACTGGCCATTATCAGATTTTGAGCAGATAAGTCCATCCAGCAAGGAGGATTGCAGGAACGCGTGTTTGGAAGACTGTTTTTGTAGCGTTGCCATTTACCGGAGCAATAGCTGCTGGAAGAAGAAGCTGCCACTGTCTAATGGGCGCATCGACACCAGTTTGGGTGCAACCGCTTTCCTTAAAGTAAGGGAAGGTAGTGATGTTCCTCCATCGTCTTCCAAACATGGTTAACGAGACCACATGTTTAGTTGTGACCTACCTGTTTTTTGGCAGAGTAGAGAATATTACTTATCAATAAATTGTTCTAAGTGTGTGATCAACAGGCAGGGCTCTCTACAAAATAAAAATTGTGGACGTAGTGTACTTCATAATTCCAAAATTTAAGTACTCTTTCCGTGCCTACTATAGATCTTGCCAATTTAAATGGTCAACTTATTTTTTTTGCCTACTTTTACTTCTCACTACCATCAGACTCGTGCGTTGCACAGGTCATATTTACATTAGTAAATTATATTAACATCATTTTTTGAAGATACAAATTGGTATATAATGTTATATAGAGATTTTATTATTTTAAGGTACAAAAGTTAACTCATTTACAAATTTCGAAAGACTTCTTTATAAGGTACATTATTCCTACAATATATATATATATATATATATATATATATATATATATATATATATATAATTTACTTATATAAACTACATTATATATAATTTATTTTTTTAGAATATAAAGAGACAATTATTTAGGTAATTATTTTTTAATCAAACAACCATCGCCACACCTTTCACGATCCTGGTACCATCCGTCGGGCCACGGGTAACGTTCCTACTAAGAATGACTCAGTTCAAGAACGGCCGGGCCAACATGCAGGCCATTCAAGGCTTTGGCCAGGTAATGGCCATGTGCCAGCAAGCTGGAGGAATGTCATTCCTCCCGGGCATGTTTCCATTTGCGGTACCAGGCGCGAGACAACTGCCACTGCAGGCTCCCATGACTCCAGCTCCCTTCAAAACACCGATGCCACAACCATCACCCTTCCAACCGTAGATGGTCAGTGCGGTTCCCCTTGTCAATTTGGCGAGCACCATGAATGACGTCGGGCCTTCACGCCATCCACAGAGCACCCCGAATGGTCATTGCATCTCGAATGAGAACGATGACGAAGAGTGGGACATTTCCCGTGCCCAGAAGAAGAAGAAGGGCAAGGCCCCGAGACCTGCAACCTCCTGAGACTCGGCATTTGACAGGCTGGGGGAAAGGAAGGAGCAGCAACGTAAGTCCGCCAAGTGGAGATAGGTGAGGGAAGTGTACGTTATTTCTTTTTATTTAATACTTTTTTATTGCAAACACAAATTTTTTTAATTATTAAATCATTATAAAAAATAAATTTACAAATAAATTAAAAAGTACTTATGATGAACATAAAAGAAAAAAGAAAAACAATAAAAAAGCAAAAAAAGACTAAAGTAGGAGTAAAACATTGAAAATATATCAAAATAAGAGTTTCATATTTTTTCAGAAATATGAGTTAAAATACATTTACATTACCAATTATGACCATGCACATTACGTGAAATGCACATGTACAGTGCCACATTAGTACAATGCAAACTCTTATTTAGAAAATAAAAATATGGAACTCCTATTTTGGTACTTTCTCTATGTTTTAGTTCTATTTAGGGTGATTTCTTCAAAGAAAAACCGAGAGGGGGCGTTGGTGCCCATTTCCAAGATCATAGGGGGCGACGAAGCTATTAATCTAATATTTGAAGGATATTTTAGTATAGAGGGGCACTGGTGTAGCAATATCAGAACCATGAGTGACAAGTGCGCATGTTTTGAAACCATAGGAGTAACTGTACACATTTACCAAACCACAAGGGCTATTGGTGCAATAAACTCCTTAATTTAATAGCGTCAAAGACGCCGGCCACGGCCCACGGGGTTTTAGGGCGCGCATTGGAGGTCGTCTTCCTGAAAACTTGGTTAGGATTGTCGTTGCATTCCATTTTTTATCCAATGCGTCACAACTCACAAGTGGAATTTTAAAAATCGCCCTAAATAGGACTAAAACATAGAGAAAGTTCCAAAATTGGACTTTCATGTTTTAGTTTCGGGCACATGTACAGTGTCACATTACCACAGTGCAAAGTTCTATTTCGAGGGGCATCTCCAATGTTTAAATGTATAGGAATTGAACCACTTGGGCCACCTCCCTGATCCTCATATTGTGAGCACAGTCAGAGTTCTTATTCATTCACAAAATGAGGAACCAGATTACAGCCCAATGTGCAGAGCCTTTAGTGTTTGTTCACAGTGACTTGCATCTTCTCTCTAGAATGACAATAGAATCTAAGACTAAGGTCACAAAAACCGTGGGACCTTGGTGGGGATGAGCTTGAGGCACGCGATGTTGCACGAAACTACAAATTTATCACTTGATGAACCTCAATTTTGAGTCATTACTTTTTCTGTTGATGAGTAGGACTGGGACACAAATGAAGTATTTGACAAAGTTCTAAATTATTCTTCCAAGACCTATATGTGTGAATTTTCTATGAAATTTCAGGTAGCCACATGGCTCACATCTAAAGTTTGGACCCTCCTCTTGGTTTTGGGCTCATGCGGCCTCCTGCTGTTTCCAAGGGGCAATGGGGTTTTCTACGAGGAGCCAGATGTATTCTTCCTTTCTACTAACCAAGTCACAAGCAAACACTTTGCCACATACCAGTTTAAATCTTTACACCTTATCTACAAGCATGATTATCTTATTTGTTGTGTTTTTGAATCTCATGTTTTATTTGTTCACTCCTTTCAATTCATTGAAGCTCTGCATATCAAACCCTGCAGCCATCCAGGGATGGTTGACTCTCTCCATGTGTCATGGAGCCATGGAGGCCTACAGCTCGAATCAATCTCCTTGGAGTCATCCAATGGCTCACAAGTTGTAAATGAGCACAAACAATGATCTAAATGAATGGCTGCCTACAGATTTACCATGTGGTTAACCTACTTACCTACCATATGTTGGTACTGGGTGATAATATGGAAGATACCCTTGAACTGGAGAGATAGATCAGCTTGGTGCCGGGCAAGGTGAAGTTTCAACATTGAATCTCCCTTAATCAGCTTGGTGCCGGGCAGAGGCATTTGATAATGTTACAGCACCATGTGCATAAAGGTTTATTTTCAAACCAGATATAATTAATCCTTATTGTCTTAGCCGGGTAATTATCTTGCCTCTTAAACAATGCATTATCACATTTTCTGGATTTTTAGTCATTCAGAAAATATACATCCTGCTTGTGGTTTAAGCAAAAATTGGTCATTTATGGTAGTAATAATAATAATCTCGAATTATTGGATTTTTCTTGGAACGTTAGATGATCTTACTCGTTTTTGTATGAAGAACCATCTACCAAAGTAAATCAAGCATTGGGCATACATTCTCTCTGACCATAAGGTTGAGGTTAGCTTGTATGAATCTAATACATTTCTGCAAACATTTATATCATCATATACCAAGGTATGTAGTCGGTACGTTCTTTTACAAAAAACTAAAAGTGACATACTAATTGCGCGCATATTAAACATGAAATGACTCAAGTTGTACATCCTTAGACGTCAAAGGAACATATTCTCCACGGTAAACCTCTAGATGATCTGAAAGTGAGGACTTGTCGATATTTTCGTGGTGATATGATTTGCAAATGAAGTAGATGATAGTCTGGGTGGTGAGTCCGAAGAGTATTAAAACCGCCAACAACAACACAAACAAAATTCCACACGCTACCCTCCCTGCATCTCCTCCTCCCACGTAGCCAAGCACTACAAAGTACTCAAACCCTGTATGGATCCCAAAGAAAACCATGTTCATAAGCAGGAAAATGACCACAGAAATACCCATTTTACCCTTGATCAGTTCTTGGCTCTTGATCATGGCATTGACTCCATGTACATCTTCTAGCACAGACACCACACTCGCGAGGTGGTAAATAACAGTGATATAGACAAAGCCCCCCATGTAGATGACCATTAAAAGTGTAACAACGAGCACCCCGATCGCTCCAGGACCCAATGCTACCAGCCAGAGAATCATAATCAGCATGGCCATGACGTTGTAAGCGAAAAGGATCATAAAACTCCACAGGAAAGTGACCATAAGGCGTTTCCAGACTTTGGGGACAACAGAAATGACCTTCTTGAAGCAGATGTCCTTGGCAGTGTAGATGGATGCAATGGTGTAGACGACAGCGGAGGTGGAGAGGAGGGCGAGGACGAAGAAGAAGATGAAGTAGGCGATCTTGAAGAGCCAGAACGCAGTCCATTCGGAGGAGAGGACATCGGATATCTTGTTGTACGTCTTGGTCCCGCGCTGGATTCTGTCAATGATGTATTCGTCGCGGAGGATGTTGGTGAAAATGAGGTCGGAGATCTCGACGTGTGCCAGGTAAATGAAGGAGAGGGGGACGATCATGGCGGATGTAATCTGGAAGAAAATCTTCTTCCATGTTGAGACCAGGCTGAATGATTCTTTGAATATGCTGAAGAACCCAATAAACTGAATCTCCTCTTGTTCTTTGTCCATTATAAGAGAATTCAGATGGGATGAACAAATTATTCAAAGATGGAATTTGTTTTCCCCCCAATGGTTTTACAATGGTTTTCTGTATTCAATTGACATCGCATTATATGGAGGGAGGAGGAGGGGGAGGAATTGTCTATTCTTGGTTTAGAAAATTGCAAATAAATGACCTCTTGACTATTTTTAAACAAAATTACGGGATAAAAGGTTAAATTATCTTGGATCCCGGGTCAAATATGAGCGGCTCGTCTCGATTTTCCTCTGTGATAGCGAAACAACGCGGGAAAGGGTGACTGACGAAGTCAACGCGGCAAAGAGGCCATGTTTGACGTGAAAAAGTAATAATGCCCCCATATCCCGTAGTATTCTTTGAATCGTGAAACTTTGATCATTAAATTAAATTGAATGGATATCAGATATTGATATAAAAATAATTATATAAGGTTTGTCTTTACTTCATATTACTTTTAAATACTTCTTTCGTCTCGCTATATTTGTCTAATATGAATTTTTTAAGTTAAATTAGACAAACTTTATTCATAAATTTCTCTCAATTTGTATTACATATTACTACAAAAAAATAAAATTTTGAAATGTATCAACCATATAAATCTAATAAAATTATTGAACAATATTTATCTACGTTTTTTTCTTGAAAGTAACATTATTTTTCTAATTATAATTAATATAAGAGACTTGCATAACATTTTCTTCAAAGACTAATTTTGATTGACAGTAAAAAAAATCAAATTGGACCCACTTCGCAACAGAAAATCTTGCATATCCTTTTCAAAAGAGAACTTTGCTTCTAGCACCCTAAAGCCGATTTTAAGGTCCGGAGAATAACGAGCAAAAGATTTGGATGTGGAATGCTTTTTTATGGTAACTTTAAAGTTCACACCACTTTTTGTAAACTTTCTCATATAAAAAATATTTTTATGTTACATATTATACTAGTTTTCTACCCTGTGCTACGCACGGGCTTGTTATTAGGGCTCGTTGTCATAATGTTATTGATGCGATGGTTGAAAATGGAAAGTTTGGTTTATGATTTGATTTTCTTCCGTGCTACGCTTGGCATGTGTTAAAGGGTTGTGTATGTTTTGGTTTTGTAGGATTTTGAAAGGCTACATTGTATCCTTTTGTTTTGTGAAATGTGAAGAGTGATATTATTCTATTTTGGGGTTTTTTAATTTGATGTTGGTGGTTGAAGAGATTCATTTTTTGTAATGATTTTAGATGTTCATTTTGGCGTTGTACCGGTTGATGTTTGTTTTGGTGTTTTGATGTTCGTTTGGGTAAGATGAAAAAATGAAAAATAATCTTAGGGCTGATATTCATGAAAACATTTTTCATAAGTTTTAAACAATTCCAAAACACTTGGTGTTCGCCTAAACCAAAAACCAAGGCATCTGGCGTTCGGCTTTCAGAAACTGGCATTTGGCTTTCGGAAACTGGCGTTCGGCATTTGGTTATCAGCATTGGTTTTTTGGCATTCGAACCAACCAAGTGGTTTTTAACATTTTAACATTGGTTTTTACTTCTAGGCACATTTAAATAGTTCTACAACAAAAAACATGTTAAAAACCACCTTTCATTTTTGGCCTTTTTTGTAAAAACTATGTGAAACGACATAAATTTGGCTAGCCGTGATTTTTACCTTAATGAAGTGGTTTTTACCTTAATGAAGTAATAAAAGAAAAAATGATAAATACTTTATTGTAAACAACATCAGGCTTTCTTTTCTAAAAGATTAATAAATTTTATACTTTTTTTAGATATATAGCTAATTGTGTATGTTACATATTTTAAAATGGTATAACATATAAACTCCAAATGAATACAATAATCAAATAAAATATATTAAGATTTTTAATCTATATACTCCCTTTTAGGCTTTTTTGGTAAAACTATGTAATACTTTGATTATAAATTGAATACAGTTTTAAATAATTAAATGTCATAAAAACGTGATATATGAAAATAATATTTTAGATAGATACATTTTTTCTAAATTTACATTATAATTAAATATAATATACTTTTTGTACACTTTATGGTGAAAGTATATATATAGAGCGACTTGACCAAAAATATCAAATTTTTATCAAATGAAATAATATTGAAATTTGATTTAATTATTAAAAAAAATAAAATAAAAATGCAAAATAAACCAATTAAGTAATGATAAATCATTGAAAGATTCATATGCGGTGTATGACCTATATGCCACATGTTATCCTAGAACAAAAACAAATCTAGTTTATTGAATTTGATGTTTTGAAATATTATATAAAAAATTTAATAATGTTGCCAAAAAAACATTTTGAAGTAAAATATATAGTTAATAAATATAGAGTTAATAAAATATAGTTATTTGTTAGAAATAAGAATATAAATAAATGGTGGATTCTTTTATTTGTAGTATGTAATAGGATAAAAAGTTTGAAATAAATTTGTATTTAATAATTACTTATATTTGATAAAAAAAATTATAATACTATTTTGAAAATTTGATAACAATAATTTTCTTTTTGTTCAACAGTAATGGTTATTTAGTGTAAGAAAGTGAAGGATTTATAAAAATTTAATATAAGTTATTTAATGTAAGAAAGTGATGTTTTTATAAAAATTTAATAATAATAAATATATACATGTGCCACATGACATGTGGGGAGGTGTAGTGCCTGCATGACATAAACATTTTATGCAAAATTAATGGTCATCAAATAAAATAAAAATGAAAATTGTTTTAATTAATAAAAATTAAAAAAAATCTCAAATAGATCAATTAAGGAATGACACATCATTAGATAATGCATATTTGTATGTGCCACATGTAATCCTTCAATTAAACTTTTACTTTGTTTAGTTTGCTGAAAAAAATATAATAAAATAAGTAATGTAATAAGAAAAACAACTAAAATATGTTATGAATTTAATAAAGATGCACGTGTGATAAAATTTATATGTAATTAGTTTTTTTGATATGATGGATAATTTTAAAAATTATAAGCAACATCTTTTTAATCAATAAATTATATACATAAATTTTTTGAAGTTATAAAATAATCGTGCATATTTTTAAGATACGTCAAAAAAATAAATTAGTTTTAACATAGTTAGAAAGTGAAGAGTTTATCAAAAATTAATAAAAATAATAGTTTTTTATTGTTGGAAAGTGAAGAGTTTATAAAAAATAAAAATACGGATTATTTAATACAAAATTAACTCACATGCATGGATGGACGTACATGTGTCATGTGATATACGCGTGGCGTGACACGTGTCATTAGTATGCACGTGTGGCATGACACGTGTCGTCACCACAACTTTGAAACCCTCTTTTACATATATATATATATATATATATATATATATATATATATATATATATATATATATATAGGATTTTTAACAAAAAAAACAAGATAGTCAACATTTGCTTAAACATTGTGTACACTGTGAGTCTATCATAACATTGTTTTTGCAGATATCTGCTATCTTGATTTTTTAGAATTGTTTTTAGTTTTTTACAAGTTGGACCTGATTTACTACAATTCGTAGATGATGAACCTAGAGCCGATACCGGAAGGTGATAAGGACGAAGAGATGTGGGTGGAATTAATTGAGGATTTGGAACTCTTATTTGAATCTGAATAACTCATCATGTTTTCGGGCATGAGTCCCAAGTTGTGATATTTTGATTATTAAGCTTCCGCACTACTTTATTTTACTCCGATGTTGGGTTTTAAATCAAGAATTGTTTGGATGTTTTAAATTGTTTTGAAATAAGTGTGTGTTTGGATACTGGAATGGTAGCGGTTCGCAAACTTGTGAATTTGGATTATGCAGGTTGAGGTGTTACAAGGTGTGCCAGGAGTTTCAGAAGGTGCCATGGCAACCAGCGACGAACTACACACCGATCAGCACTGCGATACCATTTGCTCGATGGGGGATCAACTTGGTCGGTATATTGCCAAGAGGCGCGGGAAACAACATGTAAATGGTGGTTGCAATTGATTATTTTACCAAGAGGGTCGAGGCCGCCCCGATGCCGACCATCATCGATAAGCAGATGAAGAAGTTTGTATCGAAACAAATCCCGTGCCGCCTTGGAGTACCCCAGTAGATCATCACTGACAATGGAACCTTGTTCGAAGCTAGAGGATTCAACGATTTCCTACGAAGTTGGGGGATAAAGCACAGTTATGCTGCGGTCGCGTACCCTCAAACCAACGGCCAAGTAGCTAGAAAATATCAATCGCACTACCATTGATGGTTTGAAGAAAAAGAAAATGGAGTGTAAGAGTGCTTGGGTAGAGGAGCTACCGTACATCTTGTGGACTTATAGAACCACCCCGAGGAAAGTTACTGGAGAAACACCATTCGCCCTAACTTATGGTTTCAAGGCAAGAGCCCTAGCAGAAACCTCGTTGTTAAGTTATCGGGTAGAGACCTTTGACGTAGAGGAAAACGAGAGGAACTTGGCAGCTGAACTCCACAAGTAGAGGGTGCAAGGGGAATCACAGACCCCTCTTCAAAGAAGGGGACTAGAAGACGGGGGCAAAGGACGGGAATCCGAAGATGACATGGTGGCGAAGGAGGAACTTACCTAGAAGTGCAGAAAGCAGGTCTGGGCGTAATTGGGGTTGGGTAGATGAACAATGAGGAAGGAGGCGTCCAAAGGCGGTTTTATCAAGCTTCGGAGGAAAATGAGAAGACAAATGATGATTGCTTTTGTGCAATCGAGCCAACCGTCGCACGGATATTGAGGGACAGCTAAGATCCGTTGAGGGAAGGCACACGTGGACCTCGAAAACTCTCCATTCCCCAACGTGGCCCACCTGATGAAATGATGAATTGGGGGGCTTGTGATGGGCCGTTACGTGTCGGGCAGCCCAACCCGTGTGCCCAAGTGTGCTTTGGGACCCATGGATATCCCAACGTCAGTATTAAACCGGCCCAATGCCTTGGGCCCGAGCTGACCCAAATAAAGGAGTCGTTGGTAGCCCGCCTGCTGGGAAGGAGAGCGCAGCTAGGTTGCAGAAGATGAGCCGGAGAAATAGGATCGCATAATTTGTGGAATTTGCTTCCATAATTAATAATTACCTTAATTATGTAAAGGGATATGTACAAATAGAGGGGATCTCGATGAGGATCCTCAAGCAAAATCTAGTGTATAACTTTATAATTCTCGAGTTCTTTGATCAATAATATTATTACGATCCGCCCATTGAGTCGAATCATTTGGTAGAATTCTTGTCCATCACATGTCAGAGACACTCTCATGGGTCCGTGAGAGGGGCATCCAGAAGTTTACATTCTCCTCTAATCCTCAGACGGTGGTAGAAGCTCTTCGTCAAAGAGCTCGTCTTAGAGGTTCATTGTATTTTGCCGTAATGATTGAAGAGTTTTTTTTATCTGTTATGTCTATTATTTTTTTTTGGATATTTTGGGTGAATAATGCTAAGGTGTCATCAATGGGTGCTTCGTACAGATAATTATCATTTATGTCGTGTCCGCGCAGATGATTACCATGTGTGTTGTTTTTTTCTGGATATTTTGGATGAATAATGATAGGCCACTATATAGATGCTATCATGGGTGCTTCGCACATATGATTATCATCTGTGTCGCACAAATGATTACCATCTGTGTTGTCTGTGCGTAGCATGAGTGTACCCATGATAGCATCCATGTGGTGGCACTCTAGCATGGCCCATTTTGGATTACTTTGTCCGCTAGTCTAATAATATTATTGAGGCCAATGCGCCGGCTTGGCATGCGGGGACACAATCAGGGTTGTGGGATGACATTCAACTAAAGTTTGTGCTAATGATGTGATCTTGTCGCTTCTTGGTTTATAAAATCTTTGATATATTTTTTAATATATAATTTTTCTTTTAAATTTATGTGATTGTTGAAATAAATTAAAAGAAAAAAGACTAAAGTAGGACTAAAACATTGAAAATATACCAAAATAGGACTTTCATGTTTTTATTCCCGAAATAGGACTTACATTACCATACATGGTCATATACATTACCAAAAAAGTATAGTAATCTGCACATGTACACTACCACATTACAACAGGGCAAAGTCACATTACCACAGTGGGAAGTCTTATTTCGAAAAAAACATGAAAGTCCTATTTTGGTACTTTTCTCTATGTTTTAGTCCTATTTAGGGTGATTTCTTTAAATTAAATTCAAAATAATTTCAATCAAGCATCTTAAACATCAATCTCAAGTTTATTTTGGGACAAAGAAAGTATGAGATTATCCTCATTCGATACGACCCGACTTCTCTCTCACATACACGATTATCAAAAAGTATTATGACTACTCCTTAGAGTACTATGATTAATTTTCATGAATCATAAAAGCATATATACACCAGGAAGAGATCAGTAAATACCTAGAGAAGGTGGCAACATTGAAGACTTACGGCTTTGTCTCTATGTTCTTCTGCACTCTCTTGTGAATGAAAATACAAAATTCGTAAGCTCAACTTTGAAAGATGTGGGTAAAGCTTTAAACGCGAAGGAGACGCATCAAAACCATTGGAACCTAACAACCATATTGGGATCCGAGTCTGGAGAGATTATCCGACCGCAAAAAGGAAAGGACATCACATTAACTGCATGCGCGGATGCGCCTCACACTCAATTAATGTAAGATGAGATGCAATGATTTTCCTACTTTACACACGCATCCAACCAGCATACTCAAAATCTAATGTACTCTATTTAAGTTCATGTGCCCAAACTTATGTATTAGATAACACAAGAAACTGAGAGACCTGTGATCACAATAATGGTAAAGCCCAAATAATATTATTGGGCAAAATACACTTTAGTATAACCCCACCCTAAACAATATTGTTATATCCAAGCACCAACAAGATTAGATGGCCCAGTAATATAGCAATTCATTAACCCTAGTACAACATCTCACAGGTAAAACAAACTTGATGTAGCCATAAATCCATAATAACTCACTTCTTGGAACTCAACCCCTTAGTCAACCACATAAGGGCAATGGGATCCGCAAAATAATACAGACTAAATGATTTGCACACGAACTAATTGCTTGCCCGCCATAAAACGATTTCCCAAGTCGCTTTATCACATAGGAAACATCTTGACATGATTTCAAACGAGATCCGAAACAATAGCAGATTGTAAAGACTCAAACGCAAATTACGGAATAACAGAAAAAGGATTCCTGGAAAATGGACTCCTTCCTAGTTCGGAATTTCATTGTGCATTTGTGAAGTAAAGGTAATGTTGTACTAATGAGCCCATTATGATTATGAAGCTATCAAGTAAACAATTACACTGTACTTTTAAAGCACTACATATTAAACACAAGCCTACTAAAGCAGAACTTAATAAGCTACGAAGTAAACGATCTCATAGCCTAAAATGGGTAGGAACAAGAAAATGTATATAGAAGATGTGACGATCTCTCATGGTACAAAAACGATTGCAATTTACAAAGCAACTGAGAAATTAGAGTAAGATAAGAACTGAGAAATCAGTCTAGATCTTGCAGGAGAGTGACGAAAGTTCCACTCACATAGTTAAGAAGCAAGTACATTATCTACTACATCCAGCCAGTCAATCCATATTTGTCGGCAATATTGTACATTACCAGCTCATTCCAAGAATTCCCAAATAGATTCTCTCCTCCTACAGCAAAGGTAATAGCCCATGAACAAAGAATAACGCTGAATACTGCAAATCCAATAGCTGATCCAACCACATCTGGAGAAGGGAGAAGTGAAACACAAATATAAAAACCATAGCGTGAATATAGTTTCAATGTAAATCAGTAGATGATTATATTTCATTCAGGCTAATGCCCATCGGAAATGTATATTGAAAAACACATTCTTATTACCACCATAAACGCTCACTATCATGTACTAAATTAAAAGAAGCAGCTATTATTTTGGGCTCAATGCACCCAATTGTCAATAATTCATGGATATGTAATGCTCACACAGGGCCTGTTCTGGAATATTGATGCCAAACCTTTTGGAACACATGGAGGTGGCCATCTAATAAATGTGATTTTAATACAAAGTCAGCATACCACTTACTATTCCATCAGGAAGAACCTACCTAAGAAATTTAATTGGGACTGTGTATTGAAGTTCAGAAATGCTCAATACGGAACCTATCCTTTTCGTTTATGGCACATGAAAAACTCCAACCAGTACTTTGTTATGGCAACTCGATATCATCAATTGACCAATATGTGAAGTTGTGGAGTGGTGTCAAGACAGCCTTTCAAGCTGTATGGGACTGTGTAGTACTTGGGAAATGGGTAGGCCATATTTTGTGTAACAGTGGATCCAGCCATATGCCCTTATTCAGTGCAAAAACTGAAAATAGTCTTAAAAGCTCCAATGAGCTTATGTTGTACTCCGTATTTACTACTCCCTATGATATAATCTCCTTAAAATCATCCAAATATCAATTGAGCATGCCAATTGATCAATGTAAACCAGTCCCATATAATTTTGCCTGATAAATACCTAAATTTTGTTACAGCTCATTAAAAGGGCCAGATGACCCGTTTCTATCCAGGATTTCTCAAAAATTTCCTTGCGATATTAACAAATAGAAGCTGACATAGAAAGACACAATGTAACTTGAAAAAATATTCAATTCTTCACGCCTCATGGATACAGATGAAGGCATCAACAAAAACTTTTCTAAATAAAATTAATGCATTTGAAATGACTTACAGCGACGAAGATCGGGGTGGAAATGAGAAGTAGGGCGGCGAAGAACTGGCCAGAAGTAGAAGCAGTTGACGGCCCAAAGCCATGGGAGTAGCACGAACCCGAATCTGAAGAACCTGCGGGCGTATCCAATTGAATCTTGCTCCGAGAGCCCCAGCGGGCCGTCAACGGTAGGCCAGTCTGCTCGCAGTGGAGACCTCTGATGGATCCCGACGGAGTCGCCGGCGGTGGGAGCGCTTGTAACAGTATGAGCTTGGCTATCCATTCTCCTTGGCTCGCCGCGAAACCCGATTGACTCGTTTATCCCCGTCGAGATTCTCTCTTTGAATGATGCGCGGTGCACCGTCCGGGGAAAGCCTGACTCCTGAGGCTGTGTTTCAGGAAATAATGGAGTACTCCGGGGCATTTATTTTTCGTTACTTCCAAGTTCTTATTATTATTATTATTATTATTATTATTATTATTATTATTATTATTATTATTATTATTATTATTATTATTATCATTATCATCATCATCATCATCATCATTATTACTACTAGTGTTTCACTCGTGCGATGCACGGAAATATATGACATCTAAATTTTATATATGAATATACTGAATTTGAATGACTTTTTTCAAATTTTAAATTGAATACTCCGTACTATCTAAACAAATTTATATGAATATACTAAATTATGAGTATAACAATGCCATGATATCGTTCAATTCAAAAAATGTCTATATATCTAAATTACTAAATATACATGTCTTATTTTAAATTTAAAGAACACAATGCTCCGAATAGAAGAATATATTTTTTGAGAATTCTTCGATTTCATAATAATCAGTTTTGGAGAATCTTTTCAATTCCTAATAAAATCTCTAACACTATGTTTGGTTCAAGAATTGGATAGGGAAAAAGAAAAGAAAATGAAAAGGATGAAAAATCAAATTCTTTCCATTTTGATGAGGAAAATGAGGGAAATCCATTTTCTTTTCTTTTCCTACCAAACTCTTAGAAACATAGTGCAAGGATTTGTCATGATATTTTTGTAGCCAAAACTTTTATTATAAAAATTGTTGTGTACTCTGAAGTATTCTTCAACATTTCTTTGTCGGATACAGAGTAAGTATTGAGAAAAATTTCTTTGTCGAAATGCTCAAACAAGTGACGGGTTTTGGGCTAAGGTCACCGAAAAATTTCATGAGTTGATGAACTCAGAGCCGTATCGGCTTGTCCATTGTGTTGCTTCCATGTACCAGGTTATGAGTAAAAATCAAAATTTTTCCAATTTCACAGCATTTTTTACCTCAATCATTCGTGTGGTACGAGTGGCAACGAGGTGTTGACCGAGGATGACACTTGAAAAGTATCAATTGTAATCTTGTCCATTCCTGCATCTAAAGGCGTTTCAACACCTATTCTAAGTAGGCCCTATTCCAAACGAGGCAGGTGAAACAGACCAAAACTTCTGAATTGGGAGACTTCAATCCTGGCAGGTCCGATGTGCCTTGGATGTCGAACATAAATGACGACAATAATGACATACTAACGCCCTTAGATCCGGAACGACCCGTCTTGAGGAATCGAGCAAGGAGAGACGCATCTTCTCGAATGGCACCTGAACCCTTGGTGAAAGGGTTCAAAGATCTCACCACAACTTGTCCACCTTTACGGGATTGTAGACGGAGAGGCTTCGGCTTAAGCATCAAGCGAGAGCAGAGAAGCTCGAGCTCGAAAGCCAACGAGTCAAACAAGAAAACTTCAAATTAATGACCACAAACATTGATAATCATGGTTCGATCGAGCGTGGGGTGGTGATGAACAATGAGGATGAAAGGCAATATATCAAAGAGGTGGCTTGGAAATGCTAGGGACAACAAATGCAAGGACCTTTAGATTTTTTTGAGTGCACTTCTATTATATTTTATATGTAATTTTTTTATTTGAGTATGTTTTAATTTTATTGATCTTAATGTCAAGGAACCGATTCAACCAAAAGCTCAAGCTTGTGGTTGTGGCCCAGGAATGATTTTTATATACTCTAACACGCCCCCTCACGTGCAAGTGTGACCTCTTTGAGCCTTGCACGTGAAACCTTAATTTTTTTAATCTGGGTGGCGGTGAGTTTCGAACTCGTGACCTCTTGGTCATCAAGGCTCTGATACCATGTCAAAATATTGGAATAATAATATTGTTCCTTGAATTATGGAGTACATGATAGAGTATATATAAGAGAGACTGCTAACACAACTAGGAATAAAGAATGAAGTCTAACTAAAATACAACATCTACCACAAATAGGATTAGGAAGCTGACTAATAATAAAACACTACCATAACCAATACTACAAGAAGTACTATTAGTATTATTGTCCAACATCCCCCTCAAGCTGAACTCTGGCTGAAGCCAGAGGAAGCTTGGACACTAGCTGGAAACAAGAAACTTTGAGAAGAGAGAAGTCTGACATGCGCCGGTGGCTGCTCACGTCGTTGGAGAAGAGAGAAGTGTGACGCGCGCCGGTGGATGCTGATGTCCTTGGAGAAGAGAGAAGTATGACGTGCGTCGGTGGCTGCTGAGGTCGTTAGAGAAGAGAGAAGTCTGACGTGCACTGGTAGATGCTAACGTCATTGGAGAAGAGAGAAATTGACGTGCGCTGGTAGCTGCTGACGTCGATGAAGAAGAGAGAAGGTTGGCGTGCGCTTGTAGCTGCTGACGTCAAAGAAGAATAGAGAAGGCTACTCGAGGTGCCTGTTTTGTTGATCAATTCTTAAACATAAAATATAAATTAGGGATTTAATCATGTGTACCTGATAATCCTGTAAACGTAGTTAGGGATGAAGCCATGATTCTCATGCAGATCGAGTTCCCGTTTAGGGTGTATCGTTATGATGGCTAAGGTGAGGATGAGACTCACGAGAATAGAGAGGCAGAGAGAAGGCGTAAGATTGGTGTGTTGATCTCTGCCTAATGACCTCTATATATATACACCCAAGGGGAAACCCTAATTAGGTCGTAAGGGTAATTACGTCCATCGAATAATTACCAAATAAAAACGTAGGGTATTGATTAGGTCAATGATCAATTAATTAGATAAATGATAACTCAGGCCACATAATAAAATCGTGTCCAACATTCTCCCACTTGGCCGAGTAATCATTTATGATGAGTATTAGATAAGTCTGATCAGATTTTAATACTCATTTTAGTTCTAAACCGAAACTGTAGCAGAGAAATACAGTCATTGAATCGAAACTCAATTCAAGACCCCCATTAATCATACTACAATACC